TTTTTTTTTTTTTTTTTTTTTTAAGTGTATTTTACGAATTTGTTAAGAGCTAGCTACAAACCCAAGTTGATTTGATTTTTTAGTTATATTAATGCCTAATTACATTTTTATGCAGAAAACTATCTTTTTTAGTTTATTAATATCTAATTATAAATTATGCTCTTTTTACACAGATCTTAAAAAGATTACAACTATATCCTACTCTGTGCTGTCGAAAAGGACTACTCTTCTAAATGGCTTGAGCCCTATTACAAATTCATTCTTCACCCAACAAAAACCAGCTTCTACTGCATATACCAGGTAAAAAATACCAAAACAAGCACACACACRCAAGATCAAGAGAGCAAAAGAATGAAAGCTAGTGGACAATTAATAAAGAATGTGGACAATTAATAAGCTGGGTGGAAAATGGAGTTTTCTTTGAACTTTAAATTTTGGATGGCCAATAAACATTCATTGGAAGCTTTCTATAGTATGTACTATTTATATTATAAATACCCACTCCCCCCTTTTTTTCTTTTCCTCTCACAGTCTCACTTGGAACAGCTGTCTGTCTCACAGTGTTTCAGCTTAATCTGGTAATTTAAAAGGCTGCTCTAGGGGTGTTTCTTTGCAATAAGTCTTTATATTTGATCTTGTGTTTTACCATTCAGCTACATGGGGGCTGGAGAATTTTGCCACTGCTTTTTACTTGGTTCCAAAACAACCTTAATGCTATATTTTGTCATTTGGGAATTAAGCTTCGTCTTCTCTGATGAAAGTTGAGTGGTGGTATAGCTGTGGATTAATGCTCTTAACTGTGGAGCCAATAATAGGTAAGAATGTGCAGCTCTTTTCCCCATATCTGCAATTCAGTGCTAATTACTTCATCGACTACCATACCACATGAAGCAGACTAGAAAAAGAGAGAAGTGCTGAGGTTTCCTTAAAATGAAGGACAGCTTTCTTGTTTTGCCTAGCCAGAAGTTTTTCAAAATGGTAATATAAGTTGGCACAGTAAAATAGTGGAGAAGCTMTCTGGGCATGGAGTCTGATAGTGGCAAATTCTTTGCAGGGACGCTCGAGCCGTTGTAGCTGCTTTATCTTGAATGTGATGCCTTTTGGGTTAGGTAGATCTTCAGGCTGTTGGGTTGCTCCTTGAGTCAATCTGTGCTCTGTTGGAAAGCTGGCAAATGGCACGCTGGAAGAGTGCTGGTTTTGAGCCAATACCACCGCTAAGCAGTGTGCCTTAGGGTTGGTAATCGGGAAGAATGACTGGCCTCTGGTCAAAGAAAAAGTTTGGGTAAATAGATTCCCTGAACTGTACCAAAATGCTTTTGCAAGCACCTCTACACTTATGAAGGTAAGGCAAGATTCACTGGTGCACTAATGGATCGTTTTAACAGGCTCTTAAGCACAAGCTTAGCTATGCAAAATGTGAGATGGCTAGAGTTTTGAAGAAAATCTTCTTTGTCCCTGCTTTTGTGTCTGCTTCGTAACAGCAGTATTTTCTCACTTTAATGACCCTTGGTCCCCTTATCTATGCTTATTTTTGTTGTGGCTGATGCAGTCAATTCTCAGTTATAACCTGCAGAGTCGGTAGTGACATATGCTCAAAAGGTGCTAGACAGTTTTAGAGCTGTGCTTTTTCTGAAGATGTCAAACTTGTAATTAGAATTCAGTTACTAACACAGTGATTAAAATTCAGCAGTTGTTTATGCATAATGTATGTAAAAGGAGAAGTGTCTGTTGCACAGTGGAAGAGGAGATAGGTGGACTAATGAAATTTTGCAGCTGAAGTTAAAAATTGAGAGTTCATAATTGGCATGCTCTCCAAATTAGTTGTGCACACGTTTTATCTCCTGTTCCTTACTATGATTTATAGAAGCTCTAAGGGAATCTGCTGTGTTCAAATTACTTTTGAATTTATGGAAATACTGTTTTGCTTTCAGATGTTAGGCATTAATGTGTTTAGAGCTTGTGCTGCTGGTTGTAAACTCCAAATATAGATCCCATATAAATTACAGTAACTCATCATTTAGAAATGTGCCTTTCATGAGGATTCATTGCAGCAATGCCTATGATGTGCTTGCGAGAGAAAAGTGTAAATAGCATTTAAAATGCCAATGATAGTTAGTATTTTACATTTTCTCTTTTCAGGTTGGTGTGGGTCCCTAAAGTAATTTTGAGACAATCATACTYGTAGGCTGAGAACAATAGAATTTGAGCATGTTTAGGAAAAACATCCTCACTGCTGTATGTTCATTTATAACTTTAGGTGCATAATTCAGGAGTTGAGTGAAAATTGATAATAGTCCCAGTTCCTTCCATGTATTGTGATGAGAGGCACCTACAGATGGCCTGGTTAGAGCCTCCCTGAAAGACTCTCTTGTTCCACTGACTGGGTAGCACTTGCACTGTGTTCTTGTTTGGAGTCTCAAGCAAGATGGAAGTTCCATAGAGACAGGAGGATTTAGCAGCATGGACTGTACACAGCTCACAACACTGTTAGAATAGAGGTTTCCTGTTTTTGAAGCAGTGCGGGAGTCCTAGTATATCTAGGAAACCCATGTGTCTGTATCTTGCAGTTACTCATCCTTCAACCTTGTTGTAAATGAAGAATGAAAGAAGAATATTATAATAAATACCCATATTTTATTATATTCCTTTAAATAGATGGAAAAAACATTAGGTTATTGGGCTGTATTACCATGTTCTGCTGAATTGCTGCTGTTGAACTTGGAAAAACAAGAGTATAAAATATTCTGTGTTGTTTTGGAGAAGAGTAATTCTCATAATTTAAGCAAAGTAATGTGAGATATGCTTTCAATATTTCGTTAGATTTGGGGTCACTTGCCTTTACTAGAGCTTAATTTTTAGTTAGTTTCTCTGATTACTTGCAGAGCTTCAGTGATTAAACTAATTATAACCCTTAATGATCTCTCACTTAAATAACACACATGCGATAAATGTTCTCCATTAAAAAGATATGTTGCTTTTATTGGTAGCTGAAATAATACAGTACTATAACATTGCAGGATACAGAATAGAAAAATTGCACATCTTAGTGGATTTCCTTTATTTCAAATTGGTGTATTACAAATATTAGTCTAAGAGAAATGGGAAATAATCTGTATAAATTAGAAAAAAAAAGGCATGCAACCTGACTAAACATCAAGTTTATTATATTTTGTAATCACTTATATGAATCACTATTTTTAACACATGTATATATATAAAACCTCAATTTATAATTTCAGGTTATATCAATGTACAACATTTGTAGCAAAAATTGTCAGAATATTAGTATTTCACTGATTTTTTTCCTTGAAATTTACTTACTGAGTTTAATTATTACAATCATACATTTAATTCCACTCTGTACTAGAGATTGAAAATTCATTATTAACTCTTCTCTCATAGAATCTTTATTTTTATTATACAGAACTTTTCTGTTTGTCAGATTAGTAAGCATTTGAATAAACATAAATTAGGAATATAATTTTGATAAAAGCGTATGCTTTTAGCATAGATGGTGATTTGGCATTGCTATAATTAAACAGCACTGCAAGTATTCTGCTTGTATTACATCTAAGGTTTTGAATGGATAGATACCATGCAGGTGTTTTTCTCTCAAATGGGTAAAATGTATCTTAATCCTCTTCTACGTCTAGTAAGAAATCTGGCAAGGCAGGATGAATGAAATACTTAGAGATTTCATGCTTTTTGTATTGTGGCTGTTGTTTTTTGCTTTCTAAGCTAAATGTTGAAAGGATTTTTAGATTGCATAAAATGTAGTGCATTTTTTAGATCATATAAAATGTGTGTGGTTTCTTGTTTGTGACTTCTAAAGTACTGTCAGGCTTGTGAGACACAGGATACCTGGTTTTTCTTCTTTTGCCTGTACTGGTGTATGAGGGGCAAGTAGAGGCCAATCACACTTTCTTGTGTAACTCCCCATTGTGTTCTGCCTTGGATTTTTGAAAAATCTGTTACTAGATCAAATTCTGGATCTGTTTTGGATACGTGTGTCCTTAAARCATTGTCATTAAAACGCATGTGTTGAAATCAGGCCTGGGATACTCTACGTTCATAAATCTCACTAAGAATAGAAAGTCAGTACATTTTTGTGGTTGCCCCTAACCATTAAGACTGGAGGGAGGTTCTTTGAGAGAATTTCTAGCCAAGCCATATATAGGTGGTCAGACACTACTGCTTTTCTTGCCACTGGAAGACTCCTGTTCCAAGAGAAAGAGAAATAAAATTACTATTATAAACAGAGTGGTACCCCTTATAATATATGTTTCACTAAATATTAAGTAGAAAACATCAACTGTTTGTGTACCAGACTAAATATTTTTGATTAGGCTACATGACTATTAATCTGGTAAAATACAAAGGTACCATTAGGCCTTAACCTTGCAAAGTCTTG